ACGGTGCGTGTCTTATGACATTCCGGTACGGTGCGTGTCTTATGAAATTCCAAGGCGTTTCTTGGAAAAATAAGATATCAAATCTGTTTTTACAAATTTCGAGGAGGGTGTCTACGTGTGCATATGTGTGACGAACGTTCTGACAGTAAATACGAAGCCCACTACTTAGATCCTGAAGGTTTCCTAACATTGGTCTAGGTTCAGGGGTTAGTAAGTTGGCGGCGAGCAGCGTGCTCATGTACCTGACGATACTCGGCCATAATCCACTCACGGTCGTAGCGATGGGCCCAGAACTTGCACGAAGCCGAGTTGGCGGCGTGGTCCTTGTGGCAGTTGACACAGCGGCCCTTATGGGGGCAGGGCTGGTCGCGAGGGGTGGGCGGCACAGGGGGTTTCGCTTTCGCGTTGCCCTTGCAACATCCCGCATGTTGACGGTGCTCCTTCTGCTCGTGCGGACCTGAGCAGATGGGGCAAGAGAGTTGTTTCGCCTTACAGGCGACGGTGGGGTGGCCNNNNCAGCGCTGGCAACGCGGTGTGACGTGCAGCGGGCCTGATTGCGCAGGACCGTCCAGCAAGGAAGATCGGTTGGCCTAAGGCCTTCTTGGCACGGGTTCCCTGCTGGGAATCCCAGATGTTGCAGTACACGGTGCACGATGTCGAGTGCGCCGAGTTGCAGTCGATCCGAGGCTTGGTGCCCAGATATGCGAAAACCTCAGCATGAACCGAGGTACGGAGGGCCTTCTCGAGCGCCTCCTGGGTGATCTTCAACCCTTTCGGATCGAAGTAAGGAACATCGAGTATCTTTATAAAAGATGTTGATGACGGGAGCGCAACCTCGAGCGGAGTACCCGTTGGGAGGCTTTCGCGGATGAAGTTGCGCAGTATGTCTAGGTCGGACAGGCTGGCAACAGCTGGGGTGACCAATGACAAACCGTCATAGGCTCGGATGATGGAGGTGACCTTTAACATAGATCTACCATCCCTGAGGTACCCGTTGGCTGCACGGACAGCCGACTCGGTGAAGAATTTCGTGAGGTCGGGAGGGGTACCCCCGAACGACACGAGAACCTGCTTCCGGGTGGGGCCCTCGGAAGTAAAAGAAGGAACGGACCGATGAGGTGAAGTCTTCATCGGACCCGTTGGGAATGCGGGGGAAGGAGAAGGCCCGCGACGTTGCGGTCCCAAGCCACTGATTACAACAAGTTCAAGAAGGCATGTAAAGATGCCAAGCATGATTTCTTCGATGAACACATCGCAGAAATTGCTACTTCTTGCAAGTGCCTGTGGGACCTAATGGAATGGGTCAAACAGCGCAAGTTACCACCCTGTGAGGCTATTCGCAATGGCAACTGGCCTTGTCATGATATAGACGACCTCTGGGATGCCCTTCATGGCACATACAACTCGGCCTCTGGCTGCGAGTACGACGCCTCAGTTTTAGACGAGCTCCCTGACAAGCTGGTCCGCGAGTGGGCTGACTTCTTGGAGCATGAGTTGTTGAGTGCCCTTAAGGGGTGCTCCAACTCCTCTGTGCCAGGACCAGACCATGTTACATGGGTCCACCTAAAGGAGTTGCTCAAGGACAAACATGTCCTTGCACTCTTCATCATGTTGGCCAACGCCTGCCTTCAGGTGGGGCACTGGCCGCATATATTCAAGGAGTCACTATCGGTCATCGTCCCGAAACTGAACAAGCCCTCCTACACATTCCCAAAGGCTTTTAGGCCTATCGTACTCCTCATCACTTTCGGTAAACTTATCGAGAAGATGATCGCCAATGGGATACAGTTTGACGCTGTCAAGCATGATATCTTCCATCCAAACCAGCTTGGTGGCATTTGCCAAAGGTCAACTGAGGATGCTGGATTGATTCTGACTCATCTTGTGCGAGCGGGGTGGGTTAAGGGTCTCCAGACTAGCGCGCTGGCTTTTGACATCGCGCAATTCTTTCCTTCTATCAACCATGAGATGTTCATGGCTGTACTTCGCAAGCAAGGATTCTCACCGATTTTGGTGGCATTCTTTGCCTCTTATCTCCTTGGTCGGTCCACAGTTTACTGTTGGAACACCTTCCAATCTGACTCACGGTCTGCAGACGTGGGTGTCAGGCAGGGCTCTGCTCTCTCGCCTGTTATCTCTGGGCTCTTCATCACCAGGGTGATGAAGCTCTTCTACATCAAGGCAGCGCCACTTAACACAACACTACTATCCTTTGTGGACGATGGGACCATTTTGGCCCAATCCAAACAACTTGATGATAATAATGTGGGTCTGCGTAAGGCCTACAAAATTATCTACCTTCTCTTTGTTGCCTTCACACTCGTTCTTGAACACGACAAGACCGAGTTATTCCACTTTTCGTGTCGTCGAGATGCCTATAATCCCTTGCTGGATCTGGGGTACGCCCCGCATACCAGCGCTACACCTTTGTAACCCAAGACCTATTGGAGGTACTTGGGCTTCTACTTTGACCGTGGGCTCACGTTCCATGAGCACGTCCGCTACTACACCACCAAGGCGTTCACCACCGTGCAGGCCATGCGCATGCTCGGAAACTCTACCAGAGCAGCGCACCTCTTTCTCTCGAATGCCCACTTGTCAACAAGCGCGAACAACCAGCTCACCGTCTCGCACATCATCTAGCGCTTTATCGACAAGCCAGAAGACCTCTTTTGATCATTCGTACCGCATTCGCAAACCATGTCCGACCTCCCACCGAGAGGTCGGGGCGCGAGGCCCCCTGGGGCGGTTCCTAGGAGCCATCGTGGGGGGGACTCGGGCTCCACACCACCAGCGATACCACCATCGGTCGCTGGCTCATCGTCTTTTGGTGGTGATGCCTCACCAATCTCGCCAGACCCGACCTCGACTAGGGTCACATACTCGACGGTTGTGCCAGCTCGATCTTGCCACACATTGCCCCACCGCAGGTCCCGTTCCACCACGGGCTCTACCCATTCGTCCGCAGATGAGTCTGACTCAGGGACGGCCCACCCCCAGGAGATGGAGGTAGAGGGCACTCAGGGAGGGGAGGAGGTCTTGAGGGACCCCTCTGTCGACCTTCTTCTAGGTCAATACGCCTTGAAGTTCCGAGACACAGTCAAGGATCTTCCTGGCGATCTCGAGGTATTGACCACCTCCATTGTGAAGGCCACAGACTGGGTTCTGCAGGCCGCGCACCACAATCTGCTCACCATCGATGGGGGTGATGCCTTTGTGGCCCAGATGACGTCCTTCGTGAACGCCGTCATGGTCACTGACTTCAGTCGTATTCGCGGACCAGGCGAACTCGACAACTTCTCGCTCGCCTCTCTCCTTGAGGCCGAGACGTCTTCCAAGGATGAGCCGACCATTCACCCGGCTCCTGTTTTCAGGCCTCCTCCTCCTGCTGCCCGTGGGCCACTTGATGAGGGTGTCGTTGACATGGGGGCTCCGCCTGACATCCTCATGCAGGCTTTGGACGACCTTGGTCGCCTGGCCTCCCCTCCTCGCATCCCCGCTTCCAAGAAGCGTAAGGGTGTTGATCGTCCGGTCCCACCTCCTCCTCAGAAGAAGAGTAAGGTGGCCTACTCCCGCCCTGGTCCGCCCCTGCCGATCAATCGTGCCACCAAACCCAAGCCCCGTCCAGCAACGTGGGCAGGGATTGCACGACAGGCCGCTCCGATGCCTCCCCCGCCTCCTGGCTTGGGACCGCAGCGTCGCGGGCCTTCTCCTCCTCCCCCTGCATTCCCAACTGGCCCAATGAAGACTTCTCCTCACCGGTCCGTTCCTTCTTTCACTTCCGAGGGCCCCACCCAGAAGCAAGTTCTCGTTCGGGGGTACCCCTCCCGACCTCACGAAGTTCTTCACCGACTCGGCTGTCCGTGCAGCCAACGGATATCTCAGGGATGGGCGATCTATGTTAAAGGTCACCTCCATCGTCCGCGCCTATGACGGTTTGTCATTGGTCACCCCTGCTGTTGCCAGCCCGTCCGACCTGGACATACTGCGCAACTTCATCCACGAAAGCCTCCCAATGGGTACCCCGTTCGAGGTTGTGCTCCCGTCGTCGACATCGTTCATAAAGATCCTCAATGTTCCCTACTTTGATCCAAAGGGGTTGAAGATCACCCAGGAGGCGCTTGAAAAGGCCCTCCGTACCTCGGTTCACGCTGAGGTCTTCGCATATCTGAGCACCAAGCCTCGGATCGACCGCAACTCGGCACACTCGACATCGTGCACCGTGTAAGAAGAATGTGGTTCTTTATTGATTTACGAGGATCATTCCATACATGACCGTAAGGGAACATCCAATCCTCGGGCTATCAGCAGCGTGACCTAAGTAATACTTTAAGTGTCCATGATCATACCAATTATCGTGACATCCCGTAACTATTTACACTAATCAGGGCTTTGATATACCTAAGCATAAGATGGCGTATATTCGCACATAGTAACGCCCTAGCTCCTGAAAGCAGCCGTTCGTGTGACCGGCATCCAACACAACCTCCCTATGGGTTTGGGTTTGTTCCATCATTCACGTGCCACGCGGTTCTTTGGCGGTCCGTGTTAGGAGACGACTTTAGCCGTTTCGTGTAGTTTCACTCCCACCCTCCAGTACTTTTGGTATTAACACCTCAGGGTCAGCTCTAGCCGTCTCGCTGGTTTGCTTTACATACTCTGGGAAGTCAGCGCACCGAAACGCCCAGCAGGCTCCAGCAGATCATGTGAACCTTGTCCCGAAGGGTCGGCTCTAGCTGTCTTGCCGCATAGCGGCAGATCCACACAACCTTGTCCCTTGGCTCCCTATTTCCCTTCCTGGCATAGTCATTTTTTTGATGACTAAGGAGAACCAGGTGACCTGATATCATTATGTGAGCATGCATAGGTACAGTCACTCCAGACCCTTGGGTCTAGAACACGTGAGACGTAGTCGCTCCCTAATACAGAGGCCCAGACGGTGTCATCCGGGGGCGTGGAAAAGTCACATGGTGTCTAAAGTGTGTTTATCCATGCAACCAGCGAGAATCGAACTCAAGAGCTCAACGCAAGCCTGGGGGTAAGTCCGCAATAGTGCCACCTGAGCTACCGCAGCCCCGATCTTGCGGCTGTTCCTGTCGCAGCCCCGGCAACCAAGGAAGGCATTGAAGCTTTAGCTGATGCTATCACGACAGCGTTCTCAGACGCATGGCTTGCCCATTCGACTGAGTCCAAACCTACCAAACGCTCCAAGTCCTGGTGGACGGACGAGTGCTCGGAGACATTCGGAGTGTATCAGTTGAGCCGCTCACTCGCTGATTACAACAAGTTTAAGAAGGCATGTAAGGACACCAAGCATGACTTCTTTGATGAACGTATCGCAGAAATCGCCACTTCTCGCAAGCGCCCATGGGACCTAATGGAATGGGTCAAACAGCGCAAGCTACCACCCTGTGAGGCTATTCACGATGGCGACCAGCCTTGTGATGATATGGATGACCTGTGGGACGCCCTTCATGGCACATACAATTCAGCCTCGGGTCGTGAGTATGATGCCTCCGTCTTAGACGAGCTTCCTGATGAACCAGTCCGCGATTGGGCTGACTTCTCAGAGCATGAGTTGTTGAGTGCCCTTAAGGGGTGCTCCAACTCCTCTGCACCAGGACCGGAACACGTTACATGGGTCCACCTAAAGGAGTTGCTCAAGGATAAACACGTCCTTGTGCTCTTCATCGTGCTGGCCAACGCTTGCCTTCGGGTGGGTCATTGGCCACGTATATTCAAGGAGTCACTATCGGTTATTGTTCTGAAACCAAATAAGCCCTCCTACACTGTACCGAAGGCCTTCAGGCCGATCGTACTCCTCATCACTTTCAGTAAACTTATCGAAAAGATGATTGCTAATAGGATACAGTTTGATGCCGTCAAGCATGATATCTTCCATCCCAACCAACTTGGCGGTATTCACCAGAGGTCTACTGAGGACGCTGGATTGATTCTAACCCATCTCGTGCGAGCGGGGTGGGTTAAGGGTCTCCAGACTAGCGCGCTGGCTTTTGACATCGCGCAGTTCTTCCCTTCTATCAACCATGAGATGTTCATGGCTGTTCTTCGCAAGCAAGGGTTCTTGCCAGTTCTGGTGGAGTTCTTTGCTTCCTATCTTGTTGGTCGTTCCACAGTCTACTGCTGGAACACCTTCCAATCCGACTTGCAGTCTGCAGACGTGGGTGTCGGGCAGGGCTCTGCTCTCTCGCCTGTTATCTCTGGGCTGTTCATTGCTCTGGTAATGAAGCTCTTCTACATCAAAGCGGTGCCGCTCAACACGACGCTGCTTTCCTTTGTGGATGACGGGACCATTCTGGCCCAATCCAAACACCTCGATGATAATAATGTGGGCCTGCGTAAGGCCTACAAAATTATCTACCTCTTCGTTGCCTTCGCACTCGTCCTTGAACACGACAAGACCGAGCTGTTTCACTTTTCGCGTTGACGAGACGCCTACAATCCCTCGCTGGATCTGGGGTACGCCCCGCATACCGGCGTTACACCTTTGAAGCCCAAGACCTATTGGAGGTACTTGGGCTTCTACTTTGACCGTGGGCTCACGTTTCATGAGCATGTCCGCTACTATGCCACTAAGGCGTTCACCACCGTGCAGGCCATGCGCATGCTCGGGAACTCCACCAGAGGTCTCTCGCCTAAACAGCGCCACCTCTTATATAGGTCGTGTGTGGTTCCCATTGCCACATATGGCTATCGTCTCTGGTATTTCGATGGCGCCCGTAATAAGGGCACGATGAACCAGTTGAAACGGATGCAGCGAAAAGCTGCTCTGTGGATTACTGGTGCCTTTCGCACCTCACCCACAGGCGGTCTTGAGGCCCTCGCTGGCCTCATCCCCGTTCATCTCATGCTGAAGAAGCTGGCAACGCGCGCAGTGTATCGTATCACTACCCTCTCAGACACTCACCCCTTCGCTCCATGATGGGCGAGGGACTCCTTAAGCGAGCCACACCACATGCTCGCTCAGCCGCCTTGATGACCCCAGCCATGCGGGGGAAAGTCAAGAGCACCATCATGGAGGTGGATGAGTGCGTCCACACCTTAACTGAGAGCTTCGAGCCCTTTGCGCCTGAAGCTCACCCAGGTGATCGGTTACTGGACCACTATGCGGACCGTCTCCATTTTGACGAGCGCGATCCTGCCCAGGATAGGCGACCGTATCTAGACGAGCTCATCGCGAAAGTGGGGGCCGACCCATTAACAGTACTGGCTGCAACTGATTTTCTCCTCATTTTGATCAACAATTTATATAGCCGTGCTCGATGGCAGCCCGCTCGCTATCTACAAACACGTACACTACGTGGCCTGGGTACTAGGTAAACTACTAAAAGACGTCCGCCCCCCCAACCACGAGCCTTATGGCTCAAACGCCTAAACTCCCATAAAGCCAGACCCACCTCGCGAAAACGGTGACTCGGAATAAGGGGAAGAGACCATCGAGGCCCCGCTAAACCCCAAAGCCGTCGGACGCTGTTCGGAGGCCACGCAGCGCAAATGAGATAAAACAGCACCACCCGGGAGGTGGCAGGGTGTCTTGAGGCCGACCAGCCAGAGATGCGCCTGCCCGAGACCAGATGCAGAAAGTTAGCGGCGCCGCAACCCGCTACAATAGCGGCCGCAAGCGCAGAGAATTAGCGGCGGGCGCAGGTCTTCGAACCCTAGGGCTCGGTGGTGTCGATTCACCATAAATCCCCCAAAGGGAGGAACAACCCCGCCCACAACGATTATCCGACACCCGAGGGGTCCCGGTTGAAGCCAAACGCCGTAGGGTTGTACTTCATAAACGATGCAATATCCCCGAGAAAACGGGGATAGTGTACAGAATATCTATCGCGACAGCGAAAGAGGATATGCTGGCGGGACTGCAAAGCAGCCCCGCAAGTGCAGCCGTGAGGCTCATTGATCTTGAAGCGACGGTAGTACGCTCCAATGGGTGCGTGGCCAGTTATACACGGGCAAACGCGGGCAAACTCAGTGATACTGTGTCCGAAGGTTGAAAGCCAAGGTCCCCCATTGAGGTACGATGGCTGTAGTGGCCGCCCGTCAGGCTGTTGAAGCTCTAGGAATTCAGAGCCTCGGTAGGTTGGATCCTGGAAAGTGGAGTTCCACGAATCCAGGACTGAGTGCGCCACTCGTGAGCGTAGCGCGTCTATAGAGTTGTCCGTCTTGCGGCGTCCAACCCTGACTTTAAGCTCGGTGACATACTTGTGTGCCTCACCATGAATGTCCCACCGCAGAGCTGATGGGACGTAGACGAAGGTAATGCGGCAAAGGTCATCCGCCTCAAACCACTCTTGAAGAACGCGACAAACTGACAGGCTAAAAGCCTGACCAGAATGCACGCCAGGGTCAACCGCTCTATGGGCTGAGCCCATAGAGTCAGTAAAGACCATAATATGTTGGCAGTTCGCCCGCTTGACAGCAAGGCGCACTGCACACGAAATGGCATTGAGCTCCGCATCTGGGGTGGTAACTCTGCCAGAGACATAACGAGTCCTTTCAAGCTTGTGATGTCCCTTGTAGATGATGGCAGCCGAAGCCGCCTGATACTGATTGGACTGAGGGACAGAGCCATCAGTTGCAGCCAGCGCGATGAACCAGTTGAAACGGATGCAGCGGAAAGCTGCTCTATGGATTAAGGGTGCTTTCCGCACCTCCCCCACCGGCGGTCTTGAGGCTCTAGCGGGTCTCATCCCTGTCCACCTTATGCTGAAGAAGCTGGCAACGCGTGCAGTGTATCGCGTCGCCACCCTCTCGGACACCCACCCTCTTTGCTCCATGTTGGGCGAGGGACTCTATGGGCTCGGCCCATAGAGCGGTTGACCCTTCCATGCACTCTGGCCAGGCTTTTAGTCTGTCAGTCTGTCACGCTCTCCAAGAGTGGTTTGAGGCGGATGATCTCCGCCGCATTACCTTCGTCTATGTCCCATCCACTTTGCGGTGGGATATCCATGGTGAAGCACACAAGTACGTCACCGAACTTAAAGTCAGGGTTGGGCGTTGCAAGACGGACAATTCCATCGACGCGCTACGCTCTCGAGCTGCGCACTCAGTCCTGGATTCGTGGAGCTCCACTTTCCAGGATCCAACCTACCGAGGCTCTGAATTCCTAGAGCTTCAACAGCCTGACGGGCGGCCGCTACAGCCATCGTACCTCAATGGGGGACCTTGGCTTTCAACCTTCGGACACAGTATCACTGAGTTCGCCCGCGTTTGCTGGTGTATAACTGGCCACACGCCCATTGGAGCATATTACCGTCGCTTCAAGATCAACGAGCCTCATGGCTGCACTTGCGGGGCTGCTCTGCAGTCCCGTCAGCATATTCTCTTTTGCTGTCGCAATTGCTACTCTGTGCATTCCCCCCGCTTTCTTGGGGATATTGCATCTTTTATGAAGTACAACCCCACGGTGTTTGGCTTCAACCGGGACCCTTCGGGTGTCGGATAATCGCTGCGGGTGGGGTTATTCCTCCAGGAGGATTTATCAGTGAATTGACACCCTCAGACCTCAGGGTTTGGAGACCTGCGCCCACTTCACTCTTTCGCGCTTGCGACCACTATCATAGCGGGTTGCGGCACCGCTAACCTTCTGCGTCTGGTTTTGGGCAGGCGCTTCTCTGGCTTGTCAGCCTCAAGACACCCTGCCACCTCCCAGGTGGTGCTTTTCTTATCTCATCTGCGCTGCATGGCCTCCGAACAGCAATCGACGACTTTGGGGCGTAGCGAGACCTCGATGGTTTCCTCCCCTTATCCCGATGCACCGTTTTTGCAAGGTGGGTTGCCCTCTGGGGAGTTTCAGCGTTTGAGCCCAAAGGGTCTTGGTTGGGGGGGCGGTCATCCTTGAGTGGTTAACTTAGTAACCAGGTCGTGTAGCGTGTGTGTTTGTAGATAGCGAGCAGGCTGCCATCGAGCACCGCTATATAAATTGTTGATAAAAAAAAAAAAAAAAAAAAAAAAAGCAGGCAAACTGCCAACATATTATGGTCTTCACCGACTCTATGGGCTGAGCCCATAGAGCAGTCAACCCTTCCATACACGCTGGTCAGGTTTTTAGTCTGTCAGTTTGTCGCGCTCTCCAAGAGTGGTTTGAGGTGGTTGATCTCCACCGCATCACCTTCGTCTACGTCCCTTCCGCTCTGCGCTGGGACATCCATGGTGAGGCACACAAGTATGTCACTGAGCTCAAGGTTAGAGTTGGACGTCGCAAGACAGACAACTCCATCGACGTGCTCCGCTCTCAAGCTGCGCACTCAGTTCTGGATTTGTGGAGTTCCACTTTCCAGGATCCAACTTATTGTGGCTCTGAATTCTTGGAGCTTCAATGGCCTGATGAGCGGCTGCTACAGCCATTGTATCTCAATGGGGGACCTTGGCTTTCAACCTTCAGACACAGTATCACTGAGTTCACTCATGTTTGCCGGTTATAACTGGCCATGTGCCCATTGGAGCATACTACCGGCACTTCAAGATCAATGAGCCTCATGGCTGCACTTGTGGGCTGCTTTGCAGTCTCGCCAGCACATCCTCTTTTGCTGCCGCGATAGATATTCTGTACACTATCCCCATTTTCTCAGGGATATTGCGTCATTTCTGAAGCACAACCCTATGGTGTTTGGCTTCAACCAGGATCCTTCAGGGGTTGGTTGATTGCTGCAGGCAGGGTTGTTCCTCCTGTTGGGGGATTTATGGTGAATTGACACCACCGAGCTCTAGGGCTCGAAGACCTGCGCCTGTGACAACTCCTTTGTGCTTGCGGTCCGCTATTATGGTGGGTTGTGGCGCCACTAACCTTCTGTGTCTGGTTTCGGGCAGGCGCATCTCTGGCTTGTCGGCCTCAAGACACTCTGCCACCTCCCAGGTGGTGCGATTCTTATCTCATTTGCGCTGCGTGGCCTCTGAACAGCGTCCAACAACTCTGGGGTTTAGCAGGGCCTCAATGGTCTCTTCCCCTTACCCCATGTCACTGTTTTTGCAAGGTGGGTCTGGCTTTGTGGGAGTTTAGGCGTTTGAGCCACAAGGCTCGTGGTTGGGGGGGCGAATGTCCATAGGTGGTTGACTTAGTACCCAGGCCTTGTAGCGTACGTGATTGTAGATAGCGAGTGGGCTGCCATTGAGCACCACTATATAAATTGTTGATCAAAAAAAAAAAAAAAAAAACTGGGCCATCATCATTGTATTCCATTATTCCCTTGGTGTCATCAAGCTTGCGCACTTCTTCATCAGTCATCCATGAGGACATGAGTCCAGTAGTCAAGGAATCCTTCTTGAGCTTAGCACTGTAGTCATCTCGTGAGTCATTGCATTCATACCTAAGATTGAAGTTACCTATAATTTCTTTCTGAGGTGGAGAGAACTCGTGCAAGTAGAAGGTGTTATCCCAGGTCTGAGTAGCATTCTTTAGATCCAATCCACTCTGCCAAGGCTTGAAAAGTGTGAGCATTGTTGAGCAATAATATTCACGATCACCTTGATTGCTTCTTGGAAGTGTTCCACCTAGAAAATTTGGAACTACAAGAGGATCATCCTTCACAAGCATCACTTGATGTGTCTTATACTGTGGATGTTGAGGGAGGAATGAAAATTTCTTTCCATTGCAACTTTCATTCAAAGGCTTGTCAATGATATTGAGTTTGTCCTCAGTCTCATTGGATTTTCCACCACCTACAGAGTCTACAATGTTCAGCTCATCCTCACTTTCAGAACCAGCTAAATCATCTGATGCCTGAAATGATAATTTCTGAAGAAACACTTTCTTTTCCTTGGGTGTTCTCTTTGACTTTTTGACATGTCAAATCCACTCATATAGGCTGATATCTTGGTATTGTGTAGGCCGATAGATATAGTCTTGGACTTTGGAGAGACCTACATATTTGCCCAAGTTTTTATTGAGGATGACCCGCTCCTGTTTCTCATCTT